ATGTTAAAGATAGAACGTTTCGACTGAACGTCTTTTTCTGAGATTTGCTATCCGAATAAAATGTTGTAAATTTGTGAGAGCTGCTCTCAGCCAGTATAGAAAACTTGTACCTTTTGTGGAAACATGAAGTAAAAGAATAGTACTACAAACTGATGGTTGAAAAAGACGTTCAGTCGAAACGTTCTATCTTTAACATCCTTGACATCGTGATTGGGCTTCTGTCTTCGGATGAAGTTCACCTATTAAAATCAAGTAGAAATCAGCATGACTTATTAATGTGTCGTTTATAGTAAGAACTTGTACAGTAATTCTTTTGTGTGTTGTTATACTTCAGTTAAAACATGACATAAAGTCATAAAATCAGCAAGGAGATGCAAGGACAAGGAGATGTGCCTTAAGGAGCTATTTGAATGTGGTAATAGAGGAGGAAAATCAAATGTTACTTGGAAGGGAATTCCAGTGGAAGGGAGCTGCCAAAAAAAAAGGGAACAAAGGAGGAGAATAGAGATGGTAATCTTATGCCTCACTCGGAGATTGGCAATGGAATAGTGAAAGGTACAAGGAGGAGCATGCAGAAAGATACAGGAGAGCAAGACCACGGAGGCTGGTGTACTGTGTTAATGCATAATTACATACTGAACTCCTGCTGCTCCTCATATTTCTTTTCCGTTTGGCTGCATACCTGCAATGCTTTGTGTACCGGCTTTTCAACCAACGTGAAGAGCCAATTCAATATGCACTAGTCAAGCCAACAGGATGCTAGAACATTATTCACTAGCCAAAGCTAAAATTAGGGGGTTTAGTATGATTCTCAAAAGGAATAAAGGTCTCCATACAATCACCATAAAGTTTAAAAAACTGCACTCATTTGCAATCTGATCTCTGCTTCAGCAGCTGCACGCCGGAGTAAAGAAAAAAATCCCTTCACTGGCACAAGAGTCCCCTTGTACAGGGAGGCGCACCCAACTGTGCCTCCTGTGCTAGTACAGCAATGACCATGGGTGCAGCTTAATTGCAGAAGAGCATCTTTTGTGGTTGGCAGAGGGTTAGGGTGGGAGCAGGCTGCCACTCTCGTCCATCAGCCAGATTCCATCAGAGAATCTCAGTCTCCCCAACAAATGACAGGTTGTTTTTCATGATATAATCTCTCTTGGGAACCTCCCACTTGTATTATCTGTAACCCTGTTCAGGCATCCATTTGGGGCATGTGGAAGGGTATATGGATGGGTGTGACTGGGCGTCTACTTACTGGCACCTTACCCGGTCTCCGCAGATTCAAGGGTCTTATGCATGGATTCTGTGTGCCTACGCCTGAATTGCACACAGGCTCCTACAGTTTGGTACTCTTGAAAATGGAAGGCCTGGATATGCAATCATATCAGTGCTTGGTTCTTTTAGATTTCTTGCATATTCTGGAAATTAAATTTCCTTCTGCCCAGTTCCTTTGGCAAAGTTTTGGATTTCGCTTTTACAACTGCTTTGATTTTATGTCATGTAACAGGTTGTTATGTAACAAATTGCATGGCCCAGGCTAGTCTGATCTCCTCAGATCTCAGAAGCTAAGCAGGGTCATTTGGATGGGTGGCCTCGAAGGAATATCAGGGTCATGATGTAAAGGCAGGCCATGGTGAGCCACCTCTGAGTGACTCTTGCCTTGAAAGCCCTATGGGGAAACCATAAGTCAGCTGTGACATGATGGCAAAACAAAACAAAACCAACAACAAAAATCCCCACCCGATTGTAGGTGCTATAATTATCTATTTTTACGTCTGCTTTTATGACATGCATTTGTTGGGGGAAGTCACCAAATTTTTGTGTAAAACACAGCAGTAAGGAATATTTGACCTCCACAAACTGGGTGAGTGGGCAACAATGTGGTAAATGAAGTTCAGTGTTGGTAAGTGTGAGGTGATGCCCAACTGGGAAAAAAAAAAAAATCCCAACTTCAAGTATAGGCTGATGGGGTCTGAATTTACTGAGACTGAGAGGGGAAAAGATCTTGGGGCCGTAGTGGAGAGCTCAATGAAAGTGGCAATCCAGTGTGCTTCAGTGGTGAAAAAGGCAAACTCTATGTCTGGGATTGTTAGGAAAGGGATTGAGAATAAAGTGGCCTGTACAGATGTATGGTGCAGCCTCATTTGGAATACTGTGTACAGTTTTGGTTACCGTTATCTCCAAAAGGCATCGTGGAGCTGGAAAAAGTACAGAGGAGGGCAACCAAGGCTGCATTCACACACACTAAATAATCCACTTCCAATCCACTTTCAATGCACTTTCCCACTGGATTTTTACTGTGTGAACTGGCAAAATCCAATTCAAAAGTGCATTGAAAGTGGATTGAAAGTGGATTATTTAATGTGTGTGAGCACAGCCCAAAATGGTTAGGGGACTAGAGCACCTTCCCTATGAGGAAAGGCTGAAGAGTCTGAGATTTTACAGTTTAGAAAACAGACAACCGGGGGGGGGGCATAATAGAGATTTATAAAATTATGAATGGGGTGGAGAGAACTGACAAAGATAATTTTCTCTCTCTCTCCCAAATTACTAGAACTTGAGGCCATCCAGTGATATGCAGTAGGTTCAGGATGGACAAAAGGAAATACTACTTTACACAGAGAATGATTAAAGTGTGGAATTTGCTGCCAGAGGAATAATGATGGCCACAGGAATAACAGGAATAAACAGCTTTAAAACAGGATTAGATAGATTCACGGAGGGTAAGTCCATCAGTGGTTACTAGCCATAGTGACTAAAGGGAACCATGTTCAGAGGCACTAAACCTCTGAATCCCAGAGCCAGGAAGAAACATCAGGAGAACGCATTGGCCTCTATGTTCTGTTGTTGGCCCTCAAGAGGATCTGGTTGGCCACTGTGTGAAACAGGATGCTGGACTAGATAGACCACTGGTCTGATCCAGCAGGGCTCTTCTTATGTTCTTATCTCTTTTTCAGTGACAAGTTATGTGTGATTTAATCCTTTGTCTGCTACACTGTTCTTATCCAATTACTCTTACTACTTGGTATTGTTCAAATCTCTGAGTCAACCGGGAGAGGTCACTTCTCCAGGATCCCAGGGACACTTAACAAAACTATTATGGGGCAATTAGCACTCATTAAAGAAACATCAGCTAACCAGTCTGAATCATCTGCATAACAAAATCTTGGTCAGAGAGCATCAGCAGCACTGGATAAAAATCAAGTAAAATGTACAGTAGGAAAAGGTTCACAACACAATTGGTGCTATTTTTTATGCTAATTCTTGAACAAAAGACTGCAATTTCGACAGGAGTTCTACTGAATTTTGAATGAGCAATTTGGAAAGTGTCACCCACATTTTCTGCAAGAGAAGCTTGACCTTTCAAATTGAACCAGCACAGAAACGTTGTTACATCCCTAGTCCTGGATTACAGCTAGAAGGTCCTGTATGCACAGCTCCTACATGAAGACGTTGGGATGGGCGGGGGAGGGGAGCACTGGCAAACATCATCCTGACCCCTCCCCTTCCCAATTCTATTTGCGTCCAGATGAACACTTGCATGATGCTTCTGTTTCTGTGTTTTGTGAAACTTGTTAATAGTACCAAGGCTGTCTGCAGGGACTGAAGATATAAAGCAGAGGTGTCGAACTCAGTTGTTACAAAGGCTGGATCTGACATAAGTGTCACTTTGTGGAGCCAGGCCATGTGTGCCATAAAACGTAATGCAAGGCACCGGAGATATAAAGTGTATAAAGGACAGCAGCTAGTAAGCTCCGAGTTGGTGCATCTTCACTGCAAGGCTCCATGGGCTGGGAGGGGAGGTGCAAAGGAAAACCCACTTGGGCAGACTGGAGAGCCAGGCAGGCAGCTCTGTGGAGATGTCCCCACACTGATTGACTGCAGCAGATGAGGTTGTTCTGCCATGCTGACGCTACAATTGGAGTGGCTGTTCCCACTACCTGTGCCCACTCCTGTTCCCTCCCTTGCACTAGTTGCTCACGGACCACATAAGAGCCTTGGATGGGCTGGTTCCAGCCCCTGGGCCTTATGTTTGACACCCCCGACAACAAGTCTATTAAAAAACAAGTTGGTTGCTTGTGAGGAATTGCGGGTGGGGCAAACAAATTGGAAATGTTGACCCCCCCTATGCTGCAACTCTCTCCCTCAATGATTTTTATAAGCTCTCAGGGGCTTCAGAACCCTTATAATCCCACTAACCCCTCCACTCCTTTTTTTCATTTAACTGACTCTCTACTACTCTCAGTGGTTATGGGCCTTCTGGTGCACATTCATTCTTATCAGGCCATTCCAGCTTTACCCCCTTCTTGGCTAATAGCCAAAGATATATATTTCTACATATATATGGAGCCTCCCCCCCCCATCTATATGTAGATACCCACCTCATGGTGCTGCTCTCAGGATCTTTACAACCCGTCCCCGTGTATTAGACATAAAATCAGGAGAGTGTATTCCTGTGTGTCTGTGTAAACTGTTTCCAGAAGGATGCAGGCAGGGGTCATTTCCTGCAGGAGCACACAGGAGCAGAGCTCCGGCAGTAAAGAGACCAGGGGGCAGGCACTTGCAACAAGCCCCGCCCCCTGCTCCCAGCAGCCCTCAGTCAGAGCAAGAAGCAGCCAGGTAAGTTGCAGAGCTCCCGCCCCGGCCCAAAACAGTCCAGTGGCACCTTTAAGACCAAGTTTTATTCAGGTACCAGGCAGCTCTCCTTATTCAGGTACAAGCTCTCCCTCCTCTGCGAGGACAGATCTGCACGTCCCCCCCCCAATAGCTAGCAATCCAAAACAATCCAGTGGAGTCTGAGTGGTGGGGTGTTGCCTTCTGACACACTTCCGGTGATGTCAAGGGGTTTGGCATATGCAAATAAGTTATGCAAATGAGTTATGCTAATGAGCTCCTGCACCTCTTTTCCTACGAAATGACCCCTGGTTGAAGGACAAAGATTGCTAGGTTATGGAGGTTTGATTATGTGACTATCAAGTTTTGAAAGAGACAGGAGAGAGACTTACTTGCTCCGGAAATTGTCCATGGCCTCCAGCACTTCATCAAGTTCCAAGTCCAGCTGTTCTTTCTCGGCATCGATAGATCGGATCTGTTGTTTCAGTTTGTTCATGTACTGGTCGTAGAGAAGTTTGATATCCAAGTCAGTAAGGGAGTTGTCTTGCTCTCTCAAGAAGTTCCACCTCGCAAGCAGGACCTGGTTGTGCTGTTCCAGACTCTGGACCTGTGGGTTATTAATATGAAGAGTTGGAGGAGCTTCAAGGGTTCCCATTTACCGATCAGCCCCGACTATCAAAAACATGTCTGCCAGATTCTTATATAGCCCCCTCATTTACTTGCCACCCAAATCATAACTGAATCATAGATTGCATAGAGTAAAACACTATCCCAAATTACACCAACACCAAACTTTATATCCTTTGTGTGTGTTGTTTAAATAAAAATACTTATGGATGCCCTCTACGATCATATCATTTATTTCCCACCTGCAATTATTTTCCTTCGGAAATGTTCAGTGTTTAGTGATTCTATTTCATCTGAGAACCACGTGTTGTATGTTATATGTTAAGAACAGAATGTGCTGCAAATTTCTCCTAAATAAAGTGATGGGTGTTAACTTGTGGTGTTTGTGAAATGCCCCTACATTTAAAGAAATTCTCCTTATTAGATAGTTTATCTTCCATTATGAAGCACTGTAATTAGACAGCATCCCAAGGACTGCACAACGAGTTCTGTGTGTCAGCAGAGGATCTTGTGTGGCACTTCCCAAGCAACAGCCTCACACAGCAAACTGCTTTTGAACCCGAAGGGATTTTCAAAAAACACTTTTGACATGCCATGTATGCTTGCTATTTAAAGGGGGGAAGCGGGGCAATTAATCCCACTTGGCCACACTTAAAGTAGCTGTTTGGTTTAGTGTTATGAATTTAATAGACTATGAATTTTAATTGGCATTTTAATTGACAAAGGTGTTTCCCCACATCCTGTTTGTCCTTCAACATCCTCAAAGAGTGGGTCGTTATTACGGATAATAATAAATGTAGATGACAGTTAGCTCAAGGGAGCTCCCAGGCCCATGATAACCAAGTATACTGAATACCACCTCCCCCAAGGGACTGACTTGACTTTTATTATCGTCCTTGTTACTGCTTTTCCATGCCAAAAAAACCACCCCTTTATCTTTTCCTTCTGTCACAACTTTTCTAGAATCTTCACCATCTGATTATACAAATATCAGTCTATTTTTGACATGTGGGCAGATCTGCAATTTCTAAATACACGGCTTGAGCCCACGCTGAGAGAAAGGAGATTTTTCTCCAAACTTGGGGGACTCCCTAGGTTTACAGAAAAACCTTAAAACTTAAAGCTGATAGACAGGCCATGGGGAGGGAACCATGATACCGGTGGGGGGGGAATCCCTTCCCCCTCTCAGCTTTAATTTAAATTTAATTTAAAGCAGTAGCTGCAACAGAGTGCTGGCAGTGATGATGGGGGGTTATAGCTAAGAGGGGGAAGGGACCCCTGCAAATATCGTGGCTTCTCCACCTGTCTACCAGCTTTAATTTAAATTTTAGTTTAAAGTGGTTAACTGCAGTGGAACACTGGCAGTGATGTTGTGAGGGGTTAAAGTTAGGAGGGGGAAGGGATCCCCCCACAAACATCGTGGTGTGTTACCACTTGTTTATTACAGTTTATTAATATCATCTGATCATATGCCTGTTTAAATTTGGCGGACTCTAATTATTTATTATCTGTTATTACTATTTACTTACTACACTTTTCTTCATTAGGGGACCACATATTGTAGGTAGGGTTGCCAACTCTAGGCTGGGAAATTCTTGGAGGTTTGGGGGTGTAGCTTCGGGGACAAGGTTTGGGGAGGGGAAGGACATTGGGGGAATATCATGCCATAGAGTCCATCCTCTGAATAAGCCATTTTTGCCAGGGGAGCTGATCTCTGTAGTCTGGAAATCAGTTGTAATTCTGGGAAATTCCCCAGGACCCACCTGGAGGTTGGCAACCCTAACTGAAGGGCTTAGTGTTCAAAGGAAATTAAAGGACTTGTTGGACTCTGGAACATTCACAGTTAAACATTTATATCACTTGTTTAGAAATGTACTGGCATCTGTTGATATGTTATACTGAGTTGCCCAGGAAATGAATCTGAAATTATGATGGCGTATTGTGCACGTTTCTTATGCATTTATACTAAGTATATATTATTTTGTGAATCAGCTGTATTTGTTCACATTAATTTTTGAATTTTTCATATTTATTTAGGGACATCAGCCTCCAGTTTGGACCTGGGGATCCCCTGGAATTACAGCTCATCTCCACACTACAGAGATCAGTTCCCCTGAAGAAAATGGATGCTTTGGAGGGTGGACTCTGTGGCCATTGTATCCCACTGAAGTCCCTGTCCTCCCCGGGCTCCACCCCCAGATCTCCAGGAGATTCCCACCCGGGAGCGGGAACCCCTAATCCCCCCGCCAGTGGCCAGGGAAACCTGCCAACCCTGTATTTATTGTATTCATGTAAATTAATAAATAATTTATTTATTTATTATTTCAATTTATACCCTGCCCTTCCCGCGAACGGGCTCAGGGTGGCTCACAACAATAAATACAAACAATCTAAATCAACACAGTAAATAATACAATAAAACCAGATTTAAAATTAAAGTATTTAAAATATTTAAAGTGGGCAGTGCAATGTAATTAATCCCAGTTACTACAGCTGGGGGAAATGTGAGCCGATACCGAGCCATGATGGTCTCATGTAGCAGCAGTTCGGACAGTGCACTGTCCAAGCTCTCAGGTGCAGAATCCGGGTGGCCGTCCAACATCAGATAGAGCTGGGTGTCATCAGCGTACTGATGACAACCCATCCCAACCCCCCGGACCAACTGGGCAAGAGGGCGCATGTAGATATTAAACATTATCAGTGAGAGGATTGCCCCCTGGGGCACTTCACATTTTAGTGAGTATCGTGGGGAGACCCTCTTACCTAGTGCCACCCTATGTCCCCAACCATGGAGAAAGGAGGAAAACCACTGTAGGGTCCCATGGACACCTGTGTTGGCGAGGTGGTGGGTCATAAGATTATAATAGACCATATTGAATGCTGCTGTCAGGTCTAATAGCAACAGCAGTGCCGACCCACCTCGATCCAAATGTCTCCAGCTTTCTCAAAGACACCCTGTTTTTATTTCCAATGAGGACCCAATACAATTTACATTTTATCTTTACAAAATATGACCTTCCATTTATCCGAATAAAAAACAATGAAAAATTAAAATCCACAAAAAGACAGCCATTAACAACAGCTCAAAATACACCCACACTAAAAACTTATTCCTAACATGAGCACATAAAATTGCGGCCTTTTTCTGCTAAATCCTTTACAAATGTATTGCTTTCAACAAAACCCATATTCCCATTTTGCAGATGGGGAATAGAGGCCAAGAATTATTTCCCCAAAGATCTGACAATATATTCAGACCTGTTTCTCAGGATCAGATCTTCTACTGTATGTTCACCGAATAAACAAGTTATTACTGGACATTTTTTAAAATACATGTTCAGATATCAACAATTCACAAGGCATTGCAATCTCTTCCCAACCCATCCTGAGTTATCAGGGACGGAATAATCAAAGTAGCAGAAAGATCTTTTTTGACTATTGTTAAATTCCTTCCAGACAGTAAAATGTCTATTTTCAGATGTTAGTTTCTAGAAAAAGGAAGAAATGCCTGGGCCCAAGGCTTCCTGGAACAACTGACTCCTGACTCACAAGATATACCATCATTATATGTTGAGATGCACTTTTCTTCAGTGGCATGCTACATATTCCAGGGCTGAATTAGGAATGCCAGGCCAGCGCTGGAACCTGGTGGGAGACTGTGGGCTGTGGGGACCAATCTGATCAGCATCACACCAATGCTATAGAGTTTTGGGTGAATCCTAGTGCATGACACCAATGTGATGATGTCACTTCCCATTAACACTGGAAGTAATGTCACAGCATCAGCACGGTTCCAAATCCTTTCCCCATCTTTCCCCTAATGCTACTGAGGTACTGCAAGGAACAGAGGATCCAAGGCAGGATGTCTCCAGGAGACCTGGCTGAGCTTTCTTCCATTCAGAAGAAATCTAAGAACTGATGAGGCCTGACTCAAATTAAACCTACCTATTTTGTATTTAATAGCTTTGATGAGGTTATATAGCCATTCCTTTCTCTGCTGAAAATAACGAAACAACATGTTGCCGCAACAAGCACAAACACACATACACACTTCTAACTAGTCACAGAGGTTTCATTCCTCCACATCTTTCCAAGGAGCTCCCACTGAGATCAATGAAACCTATTCCCAAATAAGTACATGGAAAGTTGCACTCTCAAAGACCACATGTTGTGAAGGAGAATCTGTGGTGAATGGGATTCTGCTGTACTAATTACTAAAAAAATAAACTACCATCCCTGCCCATCAAGAACTCCCAGCTTTAAAACCACAATTGACACACACCATGGGTGGGAATTTTTTTTTTTTGATAGCTTTATCTGATGTTTATCATGAGTTTTGTAATTTCATGCCTTTTCTCAAATCTAAAATAGTTACACTTGAATAAAACCTTTAAAGAAGCAGCTAATCCAAAGTTGTTAAATCACACTTGGAAAAAAGACACCAGATTCTGTAGAAACTAGTGGTGTGAATGGATTTCTCTCAAAACTTGGGAGGGGGACATAAAAATAGACTGAAGTGAGGAGTCCTCTAAAAGATTTATCATTAGTTATAATCATTTGTGTAGAATGTTCTGTGTACAGAACGTATACAGTTTTTACTGCATCTATTCTCACAATCAAGACAAAGAGTTCGTTCCTTCAGATATAAAGAAGCCTCTTTTATTGGTGTTGTACTACAAGTATGTGTACATAGCATAAGCATGAACACTGTTCTCGGCAGGTTAAAGAGGTTAGAGAGATTACAACTATTTAGACCAGTGGGTGAGCCAGGCCTGGGTGGGACATGTTTAAAAAGGAGCCGAAGGTTTTATAGACGGATAGTGTTTTATGAAACATCTGTACAATGATGCACATTGTTTGATCAATCAAGAATTGCAATTCCTCTTAGGCTGTGGTCACACGTGCCAATTGGAGCAGAGGGGAAGCGAGACTATTTCCTCCGGAGGAATTTGACTCGCAGTTGCAAGATCACACACCCCT